AATGGAAGCAAATGCTACTGACCAAAGTGTAGAGAGAACAACCTCATCAACAGGAAATTCAGAGAAGACATTGAAATTAAATTTAAATTTGAACCCCAAAGCAGCATGTGTATATGAGCGGTATAGCTTCAGTAACTAGCCTTGCTCTGAAGTGCTAGTTAATGCTAAATTAACCTGAGACACACGCAGACAAAACTCCTTTCAACTTCTCTGGATAACGTCTTTCACTCAACGCTTAACCACGACTTGCTTCAAATCTACAAAACCAGCTTGAAAACAAAGAAAATCCGGACGTCCACAGAGCAGATGTCGGCCCCGGGTCAGAGCCGGCAGATCCTATGCTATGATTGGCCAGTCTGCGTTAGAGGGCGGGACGTAGCGAAATCACACAGCAAACACTACAGATGAACACACACGGCCCAATAGCTCCCGAGCGTTGATCCCGCTGGTCCTTTTGTGTTACGGGAAAGTGGAATTAAACACATTCCACCTGTAGGCTGCTTCTGCTCTCAAGGGAAACTTGTGCTCGATGCTCTTGTGCAGCGTGTGCTGCCGCGTCTCCCCGTCACTAGTTGCACTAGCTTTGTCGGTCCGTGTGTTTGAGCGCACACTGTGGGGAGGCAGCACACAGGCCCACTTCACGTGGTTCGGAAGGTGAAGGGCCATTGGGGGAAAGGTGAGTGTGGGGCTGCGCTGCTGAGTTACTCAGTAACCGGGGCTCTCTCCTTTCCCTCGCAGGTCTCTGGTGTCGTTTGTGTGTGCTGCTACCAACACCCCCCCCACCCTGCCAACACACACACACACACACACACACACACACACCTCCTACCACACACAAACACTCCCAGCAATGAAGCAATACTATTTCTTATATACATTGCCCCATCGGAAAACCTGGAACTTTTTGTTAGTGTGTATACAGATGTGTCACAGACTGCTGTGACGGGTGACGGCCTTCGGACCAAGAATGGAGTGGGTTGATCGGCTCTGAAAACAGCCGGTTGAATGGGGTCTGCATGCACGTATCAGACACTTTTATCCGTGGTTTAGCGGCTGCGTTTGAGGCACTTTTGGCATTACTTAAACAGTATTAGGATTACTGTGTAGTCACTGCGTGGATGCTGTAATACGTGCGCTTAAACTAACACTATAGCGACAGAGTACAGAGCCAGTTTGGACACCTTTGACAGCGCCGCAGACCTTGCATCACCTTTTGGCAACTCTTTACGTCCAAACGCAGCGTTGTGTAGTGCCGCTCGAGCTCGTGCTCACAGCCGTGGTGGTTTTCTGGCCCGGAGCAGGGACACATGGAAGTGGGTCTGAACCCGGCCGTGAACCCAGGCGACGAGCACGACCCCTGTCGATGCGATCACTGCCTTTTGTCCCTCCGCCGCACCCGGGACACAGGCCTTTTCAGCACGGGAGTCACGGGACCGTGCACTGAAGAAGCGCACAGCGGGGACACAGTCGGACCAATGAGAGCGCAGACAGAGTGAGTAATAATTGACAGCATGTTGGATTACTCACAGAGGTATTAGTCACGGTGAGTTTGTTACATGTTCTTGTTCTCTATTCTGTAAGTGTGAACTGCTCTGTCTGTCGGATTCGTGGACTCGGGGGTGTGCTGGTGGCAAACCTGGTGATCTTTAAAATGTTCGGAAGGGAAAAGAAAATTGAATTTTCTTCTGTTTAAAATATTGAGGAAATTTCAAAGAAAATAATGCATGAGTGAAGTTGAGAGAATCTGTCTTTTGAGGTGTACACTATTTCAGAAACGATATCGTCTCTCTGCAGAAAAAAAGGAGATATGTTGTGTTATGTATGTATGTATGTTACGGGTAACTCAAAACTCAACAACAAGTCAGATAGGGTCAGCAGTGAAACAATTCGGAAATCACCAAATGTGCGCGGCCCGGGACTCTGTACAAAGTGTTCGTACCAGCAAAAGCAAACATGTTTCTGCTGAGAGGAAGAGCTTACACAATGGAGTATCACAGCCACACGCAATACTGTACAAGCATTCTGGGGCACCGTCGGGGGGTCCGGCCTTTTCCAGCAGCGAGAGGGCACGGCCGCTCTGTCATTGGCTAAGATTTGGCCGGAGAGAGCCAGTCATCTCCGCGCTCCCCTCTCGTCCCACTACTAACCAAACACTGTGCTGTTTAGCGTCTCTGATATGCTTTTGTTTGTCAGGCCACCTGGACACGCATCTGGCCAGCCAGGGAGCACGACAGATGGACAGATGGACGCGCCAATAGCCGCGCCCTACGTGCCTTAGCCTCAGGCTTCCAGAGCTGATTTTTGAGGCAGCCTTTTTTTTGGGGGGGGGTTTCTGCAGTACTGTGTCGGGTCAGGAGCAATGAATGAAATGCTGATTAGTCTGACGGGAAGCGCAGAGAATCAGAAAGGAAAAATAATTACTGTGCAGTAGTGTTTCAGGTCAGCACTTCGGTGCCCCCCCCCCCTCCCTCCTTCCCCCACTTTTCTGCGCTAATAGACAAATTACATAATAGCCTCCGAAGAGAAAGAGGTTTGACACGAGGGAACCTTTTCGAATAATGCAAGGGATGTGGAGAGATAATTATGAGTTGAAATGATATGAGGCAGGAGATATTTGAGCATCACAATAAGATGGGTGACAATGGCGCAGCCTTGAAGCGGCACAAAGCATGGACAGCATGTTACATAATTAACATCGTTTTTCAAATTGCTTTAATAAGGTATGCTGGGGATGAGGCGGATCAATTTAAGATCATGTTGCATGTAATGACCACTTTTGCAAGAGAAACGCATCTCCTGCCCAAATTTCTTTTCAATGTTTAACAAGGGCGGCGGGCGTGACGAAGCCCTCCACAATCTGCGAGTACTGTACAGCACAGTTTTCTAAATGAAAAGTAGAATCAAAACTGATAAGACGTTTACATCGTTCACCTTCCAGTGTTCCTACGTCGTAGTTTAGCGGCGCTAAAGTCCATTTCCCCGTCAATCATTGCTCAACAACTTCCTCACGGACAGGACTTTATCTGTCAGGGAAAGTCAGCTGGAAAGTAGAAGAAGACTTTTTACCTGAAACATGGTATCACTGGTAAAAACAACAATAACAACATACGTTGGTATGAAGTCCTTTTTCTAATCACCTAGAGCTGCCATTCATCATTTTAGTCAATCTTAGTCTAATACAATCGTTTGTACTTTTAGTATTCTGTCCGCGCCACTGAGGGTCATGTTGTGCCGTCAGAACTGGTTTGGAAAATGTAAACAGTAACACTATGGAAGTCAATGGCAGTGACAGCTGACCTGGGTTCATCATTAACATGATGGCAGTGTCCTATCAAACAACAAATACGAATCATTAGTCTATTCGGTTAAAATAGTGAGCTCAAATTACCACGTCAATATATTGCTTCTAGATGCACTCCCTGGATTTGTCCTGAATTTGAATGACATTAGAACAGCCGGCGCTGTGATACAAAAAAAAAAAAAAAAATCACAAAATCCCACTTTGAGGAGGAAATGATTGATATCCAAGAGAGGAAACAACTTAGTCCACTGAGCCGTGCGTTAGAGTCCTTTTCCTTACAAAGTTTCTGCTAAGACAATAGATGAGTTGAGTTGTTAGCTCTAGATCCGGACATTAATCAGTCACTGGAGCGAGAGAGAGGAGGGTAAAAAAAAAAAACCTCAATATTATCCTTTAACCCAGATTCCTGCTGGTCTCACGCTTCAGCGGGTGAAAGCTTGGTGGCCGCTGTCATGTGGAGCGGATGATGGGATGAATGTTTGCCACCCTGCTCACCACTACCTGCCTCTAAGTGGTGACTCCATCACCTCTCACATCTGCTAACTCATTAATACAGCCAACGGCAAGGGGAGAAAAAAAAAGCTGTCACATGCTGATCTCACACACACACACACAAGTGACGTGAAGCTGATCGAGTGAGGGCGTGAACAATGAAGAATAATGTTGTTATTCGGTAATGCCGCCTCTCAAGCATCATTCCACTTTTTGTCAAAGAGTGCTGGGTAAATAAAAATAAAAATAAAAAAAACACTAGAGTATCCAGCTAGTATGCGACCGGAGCCAAGCAGTACTGGAAGAAGGAGCTGGTCTATTTAAAGGATTTAAGAGCACTGTCCAGATGCTGAACTTTGCGGTATTCCATTTATTCCCAGTACTCAATGTCCTGGCCAATGATACCAGAGTTACATCGCGTGAGCTGGGGAAATCCTGGGTCTCGGTGCTGGCAGAGCCGCGAGGATCAGGCCCGCTGCCATGGACCAGGAGAAGTCAGAGAGCAGAAATAAAACGCTGCCTCTCGGGCCAGATACCATAACGACAGCATCAACATCCACTTAGCTCTACCGTTTCAGTGGTGCTTTATTGGGGATTTGCGTGGGCTAAGTGGTGTCAGATATTCAACGGTACGAAATCATTCGCCGCTGTGTTTACTTTCAGAAGAGAAGAAGAGAAAAGTATTGGCATCAACTGTCTTGAATGGGGCTTTGGTTACTTTACGCGACGATTAAGCTAAATAAATTCATTTGGATTGATAGTATAGTTACAAACTTGTTGCATTCTAAAGTCACTTTATATAACAAACTGGAATCAGGACCTCGCGATTGTACGCCTCCGCCAACTGGTCGTATGAAGTTTACATCCATGTCCGTCCAAAATTCCACTAACCACATCATCATCATTCTGTTCTAAGAAACATTTCTGTGAAATTGTCACAATTAGCCTTCGAATGGCTGAGTTATGGCTATTGCTTCACACGGTCAAAGGCTCATTTCAAATGGCAGAACGTCTTGTTTATTCATCTTGGTCAACATGAACATTTTTTGAAAAGCCCAATGACGTGACGTACTTTCCATTTCGTCGCTAAAATTCAAAACAGTTGAGAGGAAAATAAACAACATGTTTAAGTTTTGAAGCTCCTTTTAACATTGGAGCGGATTTCTTTTTACATCCAAGTGTGGTAAAATAAGCCAAGTCTCTCAAATGAAGTGTACTAGTTTTATATAATGTTTTTAATAAAAAAGACACAGATTTGTACAATCATGCGTATAGAAGCAGAGAGTCAATGAGTTTTTTCTCATAGCACACAGGGGAGAGCCTCTCTCTGAGGTCAGTGACCCACATCCCACCAACAAGAACCCCCACCGCAACAGCCACGTTTTATATATTATGGTACTTGTTCTTATTTCTTTACAAATTACATAGCTCTTTAAAAAAGAAAAAACACCGGGGAGTCCTTCGCTGGGGCTCACCTTGTCCTTTTGAGATCAACCGAGAGGGACAAAAAAAGTGTCTCTCAGGACAGCAAGGTCTGAACCTGCTGAGGGGATCTGGGAAGCAGGTTCTCTGGGTCTTTGTAGCTGTTGGCTGGGCTGCTGAGCGCAGCGTGGACCTCCCCATAGGCTCTGCACACCAGCTCGGTGGACTGACGGAAAATCTGCTCCCTGCACACACAGAGGGAGAGAAAGCTCTTTACATCGGTACAGACGGAAAGCACAGTATCACAAGTGAGCGATTTAAATCCACGTCAGACCAGCAGAGCTACGCTGTAAGAGCTCAGCAAGTAAGTAACAAGAATAGTCTCCTAATTCTTTAAGTTCGGTGACCACTGTGTGCCCCCGCTGGATGAAAACAACCAGTGGTATGTGGTGCACACTGCCACCTATGGATAAATGCAGAAGAATCAGGTCAGACACAGCAAACATATTACACAAAATGTGTATCGTGTCACATGTTAGAGAACTATTAATCCATTCAAAAAAAAAAAGAAAACTACTTTGGTTGCAGGACTATTAAGGTATCCATTCTACATACCTTAAACAACATGGATTCATAACTCACAATGTTTTAATCACACTAAAATGAGAGCATTTGTTCATCGTTTTAGTTCTCAAGTTAGATTTCCTTTAAGGAGCCAGAGGAGCCCATCGAGAGGTCTCAAGGACACAGTGGGAGCGCCTCGCTGGTACCCAACGCAAGCTCTCGAGATCCATATTTTTAATTGGCCAACGGGGAACAGAGTGCATTTGTTATGTAGTAATGTTTGATACCATTAGAGTTCTAACGTGAACTGTGAAAGGAAGGCAGTCTAAAAGTATATTCCCATTATTCGTGAACTCCAGGGGCGTTTTCAGAGTGCTGTTTTTCTCTATTTAGGTGAGCAGAGACGCAGACTTGAGAGATAGGTGGGAGAGAGAGAGCGAGAGACAAAGAGGAGCAGTGATTTCAGGGAACGAGTACGAGTGAGAAATGGACCAGAGGCTAATTAATGGCGTCCTGCCCATCAGTCCTCCCATGTCCATTAATAGAGAACATTAACCTGAGGTACAGAGTGCTCCTCAAGCCTGCTGCACTTCCTAGTAAACGTGACTCACAGAAAGAGCCCTCCAATGTAGCAGCTGGATGGAGCTAAAAGCGTATGAGTTTCCTGATCAGTGAGACAAATACTGGCGATCCCGCCGTCCAAACTCTCAATGTTCCGGTGGCTTTAGCTACGCCATCCGTATGACGGATGATGCTGTATAACCTGTTGAAAAAACCAGGTTGTAACGGGCCTGAATGTTACATTGTTTACTATTATTTTCCTGAACAGGAAGATCCTTTGTCAACACTTGGGACGGGAACTCACTTGATGGCTGCACTGAGCAGGAAGTTGAGCTGCGGCATCACAAGAGTGTCGGGTGACGACAAGTACCGATCGAACTGGACCTGTTGTTTTGTGTGATGAGGAAAAGATGCATCACAATTACATTTAAATATATTGATTCCTGCAGAGAGATTTTCCTCACCGTCACACACAGGGCAACTCACCATCGCTGCTTTCACAGAGGAGCTTTCCATGCTGGGGAGGAGCGACAGAGGACCCTGAGACGGAAAAGTCAACATCAGCGTGGAATCCAACTCAAGGTCAAAGTGTTTGAACAGCAACGACGTGGAATCTCAACTCATTCATTCACATTTGCAGGCAATGTTGAACTGTTTTCTCCCTTCCTCATTCTGCTGCCGACCCTTCGGGCAGCTACTAAAAATGGAAGTATGAAGAAGTGTGTGATGTCTGAATGAATTATTCTAACTCCAACCAACTAATAAGGAAAGTGTATTCTTCATTGGTTTAAGAGAACGTCCCATCATCAGTCCTACTGCTCCCCCTCCTTTGATGAAAACATTTGGGACTAGAGGGTCTGTCTCGTAATAATGTCAACTGCTGCATGTACATCAGCAGAGGAGACTTACTTTGTCACGCTGGATTACTTCTTAAACAGCTGATTGGTTGGTTGGTTCCACATTTGTTTCATGTCATGAGTTGTTGAAATTGAATTATAGGGTATTTGGATTAGCATAAGTAGGTAATGATTGTTAATTTTGATGATTTGATAACTCAAGTTTATATTTAGCCGTGACAGAAGATGTTTATTCCGAGGAAAATAAGTTTCAAAACTTGTACTCTGAATCACGACAGAAAAAAAGAAGAGAAATATCATTTTTCAATCTTGATAGCTAACGACACGACGGACTTTGTGGGAACATAACAGCTGCTACCTTGATGGCAATTAGTTGACACTGATTATCGAGAATGGCAACATTAAGTAAAGCTAAAATGCCTTAATTGCCAACAGTAAAAGCAGCAAATAGAAGGTAGTGCAAGGGTCACAGCTAGAGTGCAGCGGCTAGCAGGATTTTATGGGGATATGAGGACGTCAACAAACACGCTGTGAGCAAACTCATCGACTAGCTGCGAGCGAGTGCTGTTCTAATCCCGTTTGTCTTGTATGCGACTCGTTCGTCTGATGTATCACAGAACATAACAAGGAGAAAATGTATGGCTGATGTTGAAAGTAAACCTGAAAAGTCTAAAACAAAGGGGATTGTTTTGATCTGGTGTGCCGTCCAGTGTGGACAGCTGGACGTAATCTTTTTTCAAGCAGAAGACTATTTAAAGCAAACAGACGAAGTCTGCGAGAAGAGTGACAGTCCTCGACTGAGCTTTGCGTCGCGCTGCAGCAGCAGGGTGTGGTGTGTCCTGACGTGACCCAGGGTTTTAAGACTTGCATGCTCGGCCACAGCTATGGGTCTCAGTTAACACGGTGTGTTACAAAGAGGGTGGAACAAACCAGGGCATCAGCGCTCTCATTTGCACAGGACCATTCTGGAGAAGCGCGTATATTTGTTATAGAACATAATGTGATCTGCCCCCATCTCTCTCCTTTTCCCATCCGAACATGTGACCAAAATGCTATTACGCCCTAATAAAGACACCAGTCATGTGGTAACCATAGCGATGGCTAGTGTAGAGCCTAGGGGGGTAGCGTAAACAATATCGTTAGGGCCTATAAAATATGGAAAGGGGACCATTAGGGACTCTAACAGGTTGTTCTATAACTTCATGAGCGAGTGCATGTGAATGTGGAGTTGAGTGCTCCGAGCGAGACCTGTTCAGCACTATGCTGCTGCACGCAGCTGTAGATGTAGCTCAGTCCGGCTCTGGTCAGCACGTAGGATGCTTGCTCGTTGATCAGGGTGTCAAGGTGAGCCTCGATCTAAAAAAAAAAAAAAACGCAGGAGAGAGTGGCTTAATATCCAGTCAAAGTCCGCATTGTGGACCTGATGGTACTTGTGGTTAATAGGTGACCACTGTGCTATTGATAATAAAACTTCCACAGGAGCTCTTGTGCTACTCAATTACAAAAGACGTGCTAAAAATAGAGGCTAGGGGGCGCGTTTGAGCATGAACAACAATGCATGACGCACACCCTTTTATTGGACAGAAAATGGAATCTTTGAAATAAAGCATGTGGGCTCTGTGGGGTTTTAATGAAAGGAAAGATGATTATTTTTGACGAACAAAACCTCTACGCACGGACAATGTGAGAAATGCAAGCGGAGTGTTCATGTTAGATGACATTACTTTCAGTTCTGTAAATTAACATTCTGTCTGTCATTATTAGTTTCATACTCTTGACTACTTGTAATTCTAACTAATGGTTTGATACTAAAACTAATTCAAATGTGTGTGATTAGTGTTTGTTAGGACCGACCTGGAATTCGAGCATCTCAAGCCTCTTGTCAGTGAACTCAAAGAGAGCCAAGGTTGTCTTCATGACATACAGGGAGTTGACCATGTAGGTAGCCATGTCAGCAGTGCCCAGGTTACTGGCAGACACAGTACATAACTGCAGGAGGGGATCCAAGATGCAGGAGAGCACCTGGGAAAGATAAAGAGAGACAGATCGCTAAGGGGCGAGAACAAACAGTCACACATTGGCGTTCGATGTGACAATGCAGGGAGACGCGTCCGACTTTCCCACTGTTTGACCGCAAGTTCACCTGAGCAAAGTCCGCCTGGCGGGCATCCAGAGGAACCACCGACGAGTCGTGGGAGGCCAGCACCTCCCTGAGGAGTGAGAGGGTCTGAGTGAGGGAGGCCGTAGGTCCCAAGTCTACAGGTGGTAGCTCCACCTGCCGGGGCGGACAAAGGAGGAACAAGATGGTGCAAAAAGGGCGACGCGGCAATGCTTGTTCTCGCAGAGATTAGTTGCGCGCGTGCCGTCGCCTTCACCGAAGACGAGCGGTCCTCACGGCGCCATGAAATTGTCAGGCTTCCCTAATGAGCAGCACGACGGGCCGAGTGTAAAGCTGCTGCCTCCTGCTGCTACTCGAAGCCTCAGCTTGTTCAGACTCAGTAGAGTTTTTCTTTTAATGAAGAGAGTTTCGCTTTTTTCATTGGCTGCTGGATACACAACACACAGCTGAGGCCGGCCACCGTCCTCCACCTAATGGAGCAAATTATCAGAGGGCTGTGTTCCCGGCATTAGCTGGAATTGACACCAAAAACCTGAGGGCCTCCAATTTGATTAACGCAGAGCTGCAGGGATCATTCTAGTAACTGCTATTGATCAGGACACAGCCAGCAAGTTATATGGAAGCGCTCCCGCTCGTGCTGAGGTATATTTGGAAGGCAATTTAACTGCACGGTAACGAGTTGGGTGTTTTTTGGCAGCAAGTGCCATTTTGATGCCTTGGCCTGGCAGGCTGAAAGTGTTTACAAGCACAAGTGCTTCAGAAATAGCCTCGTTGTCGAGGGTTGTAACGCAGAGCTTAAATACACACTGAGGGTTCAAACTGAACTTCTGTATCATCACCCAAGTGTTTCCGTGGAGGAGCAGAAAAGTCTATTTTAAAACTCCCTTTTCAGATTGTTTACCTTTATCTGTCACTTTCTCAAATCTTTACATGGCAAAACCATTTTGTGAATTATTCAAATAGAAATCCTCCTACTCATGCTATACCTTGTCCATGAGTCTGCTTGCATGAAGACTCAGGCTGTTGAAGAACATCTTTTTGCTGAGAATGTGCATTTCTTCAATAGTGATGAGCAGAGAGGCCACACTGGTCCCGATGATCGAACTGGACAAAGATCATGGATAATTTACAGATGTATGTCTTTTGATAAAAGTAAAAAAACAACCAACAATGCTCATTGGCCTAAAATGACATCTTCAACCTGCTTGTTTGTGCGTCTGACTGTTAAACTAAACCATTAACAAGAACAGAAAACAGACAAATGTTCACAAGAAATGTTTCAGCGTATGTATCGCAGACTGAGTGAGTTAAAACACCTGATGGTGTGGTGGTAGAACTTGAGCAGGTTGGACAGCTTGTAAAGCAGGACAGCGCCAGGCTCAGCCACAATGACCTGCTCTATCCGAACCTGAGGGACGGATCCAGAACACACACAGTGAGCACATGAGCAGGATGTGAGCAGAAAACGTGGTGCTACTCGGTAGTTCTTCATCACAGCGCCTTAAACCGGTTTGGCTTCTCACTTTGAGTGGCCTGCAGACTCCCTCAGTGATGTGTGCAACCACCTCCTGCAGGTTCTCCTCCACACCTAATGGCACACACACACACACACACACACACACACACACACACACACACAAGTATCAGGGAATCTGGGAATAAATACATCAACTGTACATTCAGTACATTCAGATTGTGTTTAAGCAAGTGACAACAATGCTATTGTTCAACTCAATGTAACTCAACTGAACCCAAGATTACACTATTTATTCATCATAAACCCAACATTTACTTTGGAGCAATAATTGTGAAATAATGGTTCCCAGCCTCCCACAATCAATGCAAAACGAATGTAAGTAATAAAAGGGAAATTCAACACAGAAATATTATCATAATATTATTGCAAAAATTAAAATATAGGAATAGAATTAAATATAAAACACATTATTAATTACAAGTTGATATAATATATGAAAAAGAATAATATACATATAAACAAGAGTGATGGATTGTTCAGAATTGATTGTATGAGGGAAATGAGCAGAGGATTAGTCAGGCTGAACTAAATGTACCGGCATTAGTTCTGCTGACCGCTCTGACCTTACAGAACCATTGGTCCCCAATTAGCAAGCTACTTGTGAGTCTGTGTGACATTTGCTGACACCGAAATAAACTATTCAACAAAGCAAACATTTACCAAGAAGGGCAAGACCAAAAACTAAAGTGCAAAAATCGTTTATATAGAGCATGGGGGGGGGGGGGTGGGGGTTGTAACTCAAGGCGTGGGAGGAACCTGCCGTGATGGAGAACTGCAGAATGTGGGATTAGCAGGCAGGAAGCATCGTACCTGGCAGAGTGACTTGTTTCAGCAGAGCTTCCAGGTGCTCTTTCTCGGAGGCGGTGGCTTGGTGCAGCCAGGCCAGCATGTCCCCAACATACCTGAAAAAGCCCCAAAACAGTCCGAATCAAACAACGTGTCACAGAGGGGCCGACCTGAGGGCTAACCATACCACGCCGGGACCACAGCTACACTGAGGCATTGGTCATTGCTTTTCACACACAAACACACACTTCTGGTGTTAGATAACGGTGGAAAGCGGCACGGTTAAACTTGAATTACTGGGTGTCTGTGTGTGTGTGTGTGTGTGCGTGTGTGTGTGCGTGTGTGTGTGCGTGCGTGTGTGTGTGAGGGTGTTTGCAGGGACATAGGGAGGTGAGAAAGAACTTAATGTTCTCAGAACTGTTGATGCTTCCTATAAAGTGGAGGTGATTTTGTGTTCCACACATGCCTGGTATTCTGAGAAAATCTCCCATTTGGCTCCCGGGCACGGGGGGGGGAAGGAGGAAGAGGTTGTTGTACGACAGGAAACAAATGGACACTTATAACATCTTCTCAAATGGGATTTTGAAAGTTAACAATCTGAGGAGTTCAGAACAAACTGATTCATAAATGATTATAGCAATAATCACACTCTAGTATATATAGATATACTATATATACTGTGTTTTAAAGGAATAGTACTGCATTTCTGTATCTTTTTCACCTTGATTCCATTTGAATTTTTGAATTAATTAAATTGAGTTTTGGGGTGTGTAATATTTTATTAGTGCGAGATTTATTTTCAAGCAAAATCCCAACCACTGTATTCCTCAACTCTGGCTGTATCCACATTTAAAAAAAAAAAACTTTCATTTAATTTTTAAAGAAATTTAATAGTTTGAAATAAATTGGATTATTCCACATCACATCTTTGGAGTCGGGTTACTGTAGATGTTCCTATTTTTACCCGGGAGATAAACTTTTTGATTTAACAACCATTCTTTAGTTGAGCGAAGCTACACTCGGCTCATTGTTTTCTATCCGATCCTAAAGCGTCCTCTGGATATTGTTAGCCGTAGCAAAGGGCGCCGTTCAGGTCACACACACACACAAGATGTACCTCATGGGGTCATGTGAATGCATCTCTATGGGCCGCGGGGTTCCGCCTTGCCCGCCGCGGGTCAGCGCGTCGATGAAGCCTCGAACCACCGCGCACCTGCGCGCCGTCCCAAACTCGTCCAGAGTGTACCTGGCACAGACAAGACGAGAAGGAGGGCGACGTTAGGCGGCACGACATAATGGGGAAAAAACGGTGGCGTTTTTAGCGCAGGCGGTGTAGCGGAGGTCAGCCGCCGACGCGCATCGACCCATGCAGGCAGATTCTTCAAAAAGGAAATGCTTTTTGGGGTTGTTTTGATTGGCCGGCGGTGGCGGTCTCTGGGGCAGACTAAACAGAAGATAGTGCTGAATTAAGATTCCGGGAACGTCGGCCGCCGCTCTCATAGCCTCAACATGCCCAGCCTCAACATGACCTCGAAGCTTCACTGGGCCCCCGCTTGCTGTTTGTTCTTGGGACAAAGTCAAATCAGTCTGGAATAATTCTTTATTCTATACGAGCGCAAATTGCAGTCCTGCAAGGTGTATTAACGTTCATTACGAACTAATGCTTGCCTAAAATGCAGGCATCGGCATGTCAAAGCACTTGTAGATAATTCAGATCCATAGTGGTATGTCTTATAAGAGTTTTAGAAAATAGAAATTCCTTCCAAGCCATTGAAAATACGCACAAAACATACAGATGACACCAACTTCAGTATTACCGGCCAATTATTTAAAATGTCAAATTTTGCTATAATTTACCGCTAAGTATGAATAAGTGGTTGAAAGCGAAGGAAAGGAATGAGGCGGAAGATGAATGGAGACACGCTGGAAAAGTCAGAAATAAATGCGTCAAATAAATCACGGCTTCTCGAGGCCTAATCCTTAAGTTTATCGATGTTTAACTCACAAAAAATACTTGAAAGAGGAATTAAACCATAAATGAAAACTAAATAGACCAGGTGAATCAAAAACGTAGCTGCTGTAAACAAAACACTTTGTTTAAAATAAAAATGTATCCCTCATTTCTCAAATATACTTAATATATTCGAGCATTGTTTTATTAAAATACACAGGAACATGTTTTGATTAATTGATGCCAAACATACACTTAATTTACACAATCTGCTACTGGAGTGGCTCAAGAACATGTTTGGAGCACCTTTTACCATTTGCATTGAATAAATAAATAATATTGACCACTGCACAGGTCTACTTAGGCTCCTGGAAGACGATTAAACACTGATTAGCATGGAGAGGAAGACGAATAAATGTGTGTGTCTCCCTGTCACGGTTTACTTGTAAAGGACGGGTCGGTCCTGTAAGGCTTCCATGGCTTGAGTCAACACAGGGGAGACATCGCAGCTCTCTTGGGTCAGTCCTCTGCAGTCATCTACGTAGAGACAAGGAACAAGAAGGGCATCAATAAGAATAAAACACTATCCTCCATCTAACTAAATAGCTGTCTTTTTAGTAACTATTCCTGATGAGTCATCTTCATTGTTAATAAATATATTTGGCCATGGTAACCTTGTTGGCAAGAAGAAAATTAAACCACCGAGAACATTTTTCAATGAGACTTTTCCCGTGTTTTTTCAGTGCTTTTACTTTGAACAATGAACAGTTTCCAGACTGTGGAAAACATTTGCAGACACACTCCACTCTAGTCGGACCTCAAAATAAAAGTAAATGCCCTATTCAACGAATGTGCAGAAACATCTTAGTGGAAATATATTTGGCACAACTGACAAATGCATACACGAAGAAGAGAGCCTTGAGAAGATCGACTAACTGTGTCTCCATTTGGAGAAATGCTGAGAAAATGAGCACCTGTAGGGCAACGCATAATTTAGTAGATGCTCTATGAGGAGTTCTGCGGTGTCTGTGATCTAAATGGTTTATTTACTGTTCATTTTCATGTCAAAACTCATGTCCAAGCTGAGGTTTTTGGCATTCTTTAGACAGAACTCAGTGAGCGGCTATGAGTCACATGAGTCCACAAATTTCCCCTATGCACGCACTACTTGCACTTGAAAGAGCATAACTCTGAGTGCACAAACCGAATCAAACTGCAGAAATCCTTTGGACAAACATTGACTGAAATGTCTGCTTCTGGTTGCGGATTAGTGTGGAGGCCTCGTACAGTGGCTCAGTGAGTCAGTGTGTCCGGTACTCACTCTGGGCCCAGCGGTACAGCTGCTCATATGATGTCTCCTGTAACACGGCCATCTGCTCCATGATCTCTAACCTGGAGCAAGCACACAAGCCCAGAGCACACATTACATACGCTCAACCTGCTGCCGCATCGCACAGGGGCGACACAGTGGGGAGGGGACGTGCATCTTACCCCCGCAGTTTGCTGGTTGGTTCGCAAAGAGGACTTTGACATCCTCGTGGGATGTGCTTCACTCGGGCTCAGAAGCTTTGAAGAAATCCTGGGGAAATTTGAACGGACACCGGAGCATATTAGGGCGCCGGCGAGGGTTTGGCAGGATTGTCCCACACAAAAAGGCCACCAATGGCTTGGTTTGGTTTCTGAAGTGACCGCTCACGCAATGCGGATCGACAGCTGAAGTTTGCTACTGTTGTTTCATATGCTAAATTATTGACTCGCACCATCACATATCGTGCCGCGTGTTGGCAAGGGGAGAAGATTAACCCCCAGAGGAGAGAGTGAAAACAATTCTCGCGACGCACTAATCTGCATTCCCCCGTCCTCTGGGCGCACGTGGGAGGATTCTTTATGTGATTTTATTAAGGAGCCCACGTTAGGACAGAGATTACCTCAGTGATGGGGGCATCCCGAGACCCTCGCAGTGTGGCCATTTCCTCATTTGACAGCTGGAACTTTGCGAGGAAGGCCTGAGCAACCTGAGCTCTCAGCTCCAGCCTGTGACTGAGGGGAGAGAGACAATCTCATTCACTGTTGCACTTTAATATCTGCATGAAGACAATTGTTTTCTCCTTGTGGCATTTTGATTTAGAAATGCTTTCTGTTAATTTCAGTTGGGCCTTTTCTAGTCATCACAACTCGTTTTGTCTGTCGTCAAGGCCCTTAAGGACTTTTTCCTCATAAAAGGAGTTCATTCATTTCTTTCTTTCATCACTATGTTTTATCGCTGTGTCCCATTCCTCTTGTGTGTTCTTCTCTGCAAATAAAAAAGACAGTGTGTCAGCGTAGGAAAACTGGAACAAAGTTGCATGCTATCGTCAAAAAAAAGATAAAAAATAAGATAAAAAGATGTTGTCAACTGGGTGTAATGTTGGAAGTTCTCCAGCAGATGGCAGTCATACTACTCCCAAACACTCTATGACTCAGTCATAGAGCTTAGGTTGAGATGCCAGGGTGACACACACACAGAAGATATCATGTGACAGAATAAAAACAGCGGACACACACACACACACTGTTTTTTTTGTCACCATAAATAAAAGCAGAGCGATCGCTATCCGTGTCACTATAAGTGTTTCAACACAATAGTGTCCATGGCAACCGCCCCGTATGAACAAGGAACTCTTGTCATGGGATGGCAGGACAACAGGGAGCGCTCCCTCTGTCCCAACGTTTTCATCCAAACCACCCGGTCTACATTCTCTCCTCCCGGCTGTGAAGAGAAAGCTGGATCGGTAAATCACCGCCTTGTTTTGGTGGAGGAGAACCTTTAGAATTATAAATTGCATTATATCCGAACATTGTCTCTCACGCCGCTATTACCGGTGCTCAGCCAGCTGAAAGCAACGGGTTGTAAATCTGTTGGAGGATTGTATGATTTAGTGTTTCCGTGTTCGGCTTGCTGGGCCTCACACGCAGCACCTCACATGCGGCACCTCCAGGCGTCTTCGCCCATCATGGGATTCGCGCGTGGAGATGTTTACGGCGAAGGACAAAGACGACAGCGTGGCTTTTCGCCGCCTTCAATTCCCTGACCACAGAGGCCTGAGGTCATCCTTTAACAAAAAAGGACCCCGTTATAGTGACCTGGCTACACCATATTTATCACTAGATTGACTTGGTTAGGAGAAGGTACTATTTTTTTAAGTTATTTGTATGTGCAAGGCTGTCGGTCACTGCCAGAACCTTCGTTCCACTAAATGGATTAAGCGAAAATATACCATGCAACTGAGACACAACAAATACCTAATATACCTTTGCAATTACAGTTATATTCTGATAGTGTTATATATAGCAAGTAGTATATCTTGCCATCAGGCTATTAAACTGGGTGATGCAAAGATTGGGGAAAGTATTTTCATGTGAACATGCTTGTTTTGATTTAGCAACACCGACATCAGATCTGTAAGTCGGCGAGAAGATACTGTTGTCTCAATAAAGGAGAGTTGATCACTATAATGCAAATGTATGCAGCAAGATTTTGATCCGCAAACTGGGCATTTCTATCATTAAAGGTTGATGAGTCGCTTGTGTGGTTGTAGTCATGACTTCATAAGATTAAGCCAAAGCTAACGTCATATTATCTGCCATCAAATCAGGCCTACTCAACACTGAAATGCAGAAAATACAAAACAATTAGCAACGCCTTTAGTGTCCTCATGGTTACGTCACTTGACCGGCCATCGTATAATTACCTCATAACTTTCATGTAAATGTAACAATTGCTTCATCATTTCTTGATAAAGGCTTCCTTCTGTGGACGCGTTGACCTTCGCAGAAATGGGAGCACCGGCCAAACTGCGCCAGATATCCCCGTACAAACTTGTTTTTGGCCAAAAGTGACAGCCCTGTTCCTCCAGGAGTCACAGCGCAGACACGCAGGCTGCAGGCGGTGGGGAGAGGGGGGGGGGGCGCCTGTGGCAGTAGGATCGTTTACTGCGGCGCTGTTGGGACATGACACGTTCTTCCTCCAGACTGCAATTATGGAATAACAGGGAGAGGAAGCACTGCACTGGCAAAGTGTGTGGAGACTCTGGGCTGCTGGTTCAAAGAAAGAAAGAACGCCAATGATCTCAAGATAGAAGCGCAATATGTGAAAAGTGGAGGTAGATGCAGGTACTTTTTAAATGATTAAATTAAATCGTTATAGTGTTTGGTTTGTGAAAGAGCTTCATCAGTGAGTAACATTGAATTTCTTTCATTGGGATCTCGTTGTAATGCTTTGATTAAAATACGTGCTTTCTATAAAAAGATTTACAATACTTTTTTTCTGGCTGATAATGATGATGTAGAGATGGCAATCTCTCACAAGCCAACGGACAACCTTCTCATAAATTGCAAACCATGGGGGTGGATTATCCATTAAAATCTATTAGCGGCCCTTTTAAAGGCCAGCGCGGAAATTTGGCACTCTCAAAGTGCTTAGATCGTTAGCCACGCGCCAATAATCACGGTCGCACTAGACAACAGGCACACAGCCCTGATTAACAGCCTGCTGGGCCTCAATAAGGCTCCGGTGTCATTTTACACAGGTTGTCACCTTAGTGTCTCTGATCGCTCTCTCGAGGGTTTCCGACCCCTTGATGACCTCAGCAGGCTTTACTTTCAGGGAAAAAATGGGTCTATCAATGCGCCGTAAGCTGGAGGAATAACTGAAGGACGAAATGCGGCTGCCAAGCAAAATGCAGCTAAATCTTGGTTATGGTTTCTAAATGTATCTACGGAGCATGCAGCCATTCAGCCGTGCTGTTGCTACCCCGTTCAGCAACAGCTGCAGCACTAAACCAACAGCTCAACTAACCCTTCAGCTAGTGAGGTCGACATCCGTTTGGGAGACGTCTCCACCTGTTCAGCGGGGTGACGTGTCCCGCTAATGCAAAGATCACACGCTGCGGGACAGCTGGGCAGCGGTGCAGAACAACACGCGCCGAGTGATCTCGCTGACAGCGTCTTTGCACAGGGCCGGCCGCCGGAAAAAAAACAAAAGGGCCGCTCTGTCACCGCGAGCTGGCGGACAAACATGGCATGCCGGCTGGACCTCTCCCGCCTTCCCCTTTTCTGTTTCATTAGAGCTGACAAATGACTCCTTAATATAGCAAACAGCGACGGGCGGGCTGGCCCTGCTAGGTAGATGCACATCAGAGCTCTCTTAACGCAGCTTCCCTTGTGCGCAAACAAAATATGAGATTATGCTGCTAATGTGGCACTGCTGTGAGGAGGGGCAACAGGAGCTGACTGATAATATTTTACATGAAGATCGCGGCTTGGGACTACGGAGGATTGTGTGACCTGAAAAAGAACCTGACCGAGAATACTGAAGTGGCTGACTGGTGGGCGGCTCCAGGAGGACAGCTTGACTGCACGCGTCCCCTGGCAGCTTCTCTGAGACCAAAAATAAAAAATAAAAAATCACTTCGACAAGGTCAAAGCCCCGCGTGCAGACACTGGGCCGTCCGGCTGTAAGGTTATTGCAGTCTTGCCAACGACGGCATGTCCCAGTGGGACCGCTGGGTAAAGACTGGGCGCTCAGAAAATCTGAGCACCTACATAAAAAGGAAATCAATTTTTTTAAAAGCCCCCGCCCCCTTTCATGAAATGGGGCTTGTATTCATTCACCGCCTGCACGTCTCCGCTGCTGGCGAATCCCCATCGGTGTCTTTCACTGTCATATTCAGAGCCCCCCCCCCCAACCCACCTTTCCTGCGTCAACTCCCCGCCATCGCCGCCCTCAAGCCGGGCCAGCAGAGCATGGAATTGACATGCAGCTGCGATGCATGCAGACTCTTTTTGCCACCAATCTACATTAGCATTGCTCATGCCGCTGCTGCAATTTAGGCTCCCAAGGTGACTGAGGACACGAATGTCACGGTTGCCACAAAATGGTAATGGATCCATTCCCCACCCTCAGCTGAGCGAACAGGAGCGTGGGCGGGTGTGGGGGGGGGGGATTGTCACAGGATTGTCTGAACACTGCTCGGCCCAATTCATTGTTTGAAGGTGGAGTGTGGAGCTTCTGTCTCTTTGTAAGAACCACAGCAATAGAGCTGTCGGTTGCACCTAATCAAAAACAAACCTAAAATACACTCCGCGTTCGCAGCAAGGAATTAACAACAGTATAATGTTTGTAGAAATGCACGGGCAGAGCTGGAGAGAGCGCTCCTGGAGGCAGGAGAGACGCATCGAGCTCACCTGAAGGCGAAGGTGTGCCAGCGCAGGAAATTCCCCACCAGACACCACAACTACCGCCCGATACGAAGAGCTTTCCCTGGCGGCAATGAGTTCAGGAAGTCATTGTGTGAACTGGTTTGGGACAGGAGGTTTCTTTTATAAGTCATGCACTCCAGAATCCAGAGCAACAGACGGGCAGGTATGCACTGTCTAAGTCATGCAGAGCTCCAAATATTGGATCTGCACATCTGACGGCCCTTAATATGTGATATCAGCAAATCTCAAAGCAGCCGCTCTGAAGGGCCGCTCTCCGGCTGTAATCGCCTGGCTTCCACGAGACAACGGAGTAAGGCTGGGTAAACTGCTTTGATGTTTATCTCAAAGCCAAACATCACAGGACCTCACGAATGTGTCAAATGAAACTTTGTTAATGGTGATTGCTGACCTCCTTATGCAAATAGACAACTGCGGGAGATACATTCATCAAACTCATAAATCATTCATCAATCTCCATCAGAAATAAAAGATATGCTTGACAGCTCCTCCTGCCCTGCACCATTTCCTTCTAACACGTGACTCTGTAAAGGAGCTGCATTTCGCCGACTCGGAATCCACTTTTAAGGCTTGTGTTGGCAGCGCAAATTCATATCTGTGCACATATTCAAATCACCCACATGTGATCCTTAATTTAGGTGCTTGGCTCGGACTAAATGTAAAGACGCCCTCGAGTTGACTTTCAGAGGCAGCTCTAAGCAAAGGAGGTGCGAGCATGTTGAGCTCACTTTCCAAACAACGTGTCTGCAATAAAAGCTGATCACTAAGTAGACCGCGTTGTTCCCGCAGTGTGGTTTGATGGAAGTGCTATTTGTCTTGAAAAGAGCTAATTTCACTGTAGGAGAAATGAGACTACAGAGAGTGAGAAAGAGCGAGAGAGACGATGGGGTCGAGCTGCCGCACGATGAAGATGCCTATCAGCAACAAAGATGACTTGTGGCCTCAGAACAGATTAGGGCAGCAGGCAAGATGGAGTTTCTTTGAAATTTCTGGAGATCTTTTTTTATTAAATAAAGTGGCCACTTTATCTCTCGTATCCCTCAGAGACATCCTGAAAGGCTGATATAAAGGTTCACAGGCGGTCTCATCATTTCACTGATGTAGTTAGAGTCAGACAGAGACAGCTTGTGCTTGATAATAACAAATAGTAAAATACAATTTGTCACTCGGGATTAATTCCCATATGAAGAGAGAACAATGCGGAATATCAGCTGAAAAACGGTTGAGTTTTTTGAAAGCTCACTAAACTCTATAGAGTAACTTTGGACTGTACATTATTAAATTGTTGTGCGCTCAACAGCAGGATGGAAAATTTGCTGTTTTCTCCTTGTGTATCTAAAAACGATATGTGTGTATGTCAAGTTACAAGTCTAACTCATACATACAGTATGTTTGCCCCTTTACACTTAACTCACTTTTCTCCCTGCAGCTTGTTGGTTTTTACGATGAGGTCTTGAGTTTGCTCCTTCGCAGCCTGTTGAAAAAAGTTGCTGTGATTTCAAAAGATGGGATGTAAACATTATGCTCACCAAATTTTCATTTAATAAATCTGTTTAATGAAATACACACCGTATGTAAATATGCTACTTTTTATTGATATGAAGAGTTTAGCTTTAGTAAGTCATAATCTGGAAAAGGATCGGGGTTTTTTGAAAAGGCGTGCAGATATGACACAACGTACCTTCAACCTGTTGGTCATTTCTTCCGAACATGCGCTCATGGCCTGAACGTCCTCATTAACACTTTCAAGCGCCTTTGGAAAAGACAAAGTCACAGTCACAAAAGAACTGAGGCCGATAGAGCCCCGGACAAAAACATGCAGCGTTCAAATCAGTGCTCTTATCTCAGGTGTAGTAAGATTCCCCACTATACTTTTTGGTATCAGTGAGAGAAGCTGCTAATTAATACCCAAAACAACTACACATCTCCTTGAACTTCAAACTCCAGGTCACTCCCTGAAAAAATGCTAAATTTCTCAAATTTGATCTGCTGTTTGACATCACTAGCTCAGCTATGGTAATTGTAACCGTTGCTACTAATCTGAAAACAAAACACCAGGGTCAGCATGTGTTGTCTTTTAAAAACATAGTTATTCTTATTTAAGGATGAACCAACATAACCGCCTCTCCATGTTAAGATTTCTCAACCCACATGAAACAAATATAACAATCACTGATCAGGTACCTCTTTTACATCCTTAAATATTCGTGCAAAGTCCTCGTTGATGGAGAGGCTTCGTCTCTCTATGTCGCCACGAAGATTTCTCCTGGTGCGCAAACTGTTGTCAGTGAAGAACACGGAGAGAGCCTTCAGAGCCTCGAGCATCTCCTGAAAGCACGAAAAGGACCGTATAACGTCAGTCAGCTGTTTGTGGAAAGGAGACACTAGCTACACGCTAACTATTAAATGAGTGACGTTTGTCTGGACGTGGTTATTGTGATCAACCACAGCCAGTCCGGATCAATATCATTCCCTCTTAAAATGTATCCTTGTATCCCCCAAGAGAAGTGGTATCCCCGGTTGTGAAGGGAATCTCTTGCAGCTGTAGCTACTGACAGCTAGCTAACGTTAGCAAGGAGCTACACTCTTCCATCTCACCTTGTCATTGTCGAGCCTCGTCTCCAGTATTTTGTTAAGCTTCCTGGACAGCGGGTTGTTGGGCTGCGTGTGTGCATTTGGGTTCTGTAATGCGGTGGAGTTATCAGAAGACATTTCTAGTTTAGGATCAGCCATCGCGCACGAAAATCTCCACGTCAACTTTCTCAGAGATGTTTTGGTCCGTCTGGAATTGCCGTCCGGTTGGCGTGTACAACGATACAACGTTCCGCCACGCTGTTAATTCTTTTTTTACTAAAATGCTTTATTGTTTTGGAAAAGTAAGGAGGCACCGGGATGACGACACTAATTACGTTAACGACATCATAAAAATATAACTTAATCTCAACATTAGGCTTCCTCACTCAGAAGCTGTGTTGTTATGCATAATAACGTTAATGTCGTGTAACAACATACGTCATTTTTTGGTAGGATTGGGGGGTGAGGCTCGTTTACTCAGTTCAATGGTTCGTTATCTGAGTCACATTTGCTTTTAAAAGATAAGAGGGACAAGACCACAATTAAAAGATACCCCCCGTTTAAAGCATGATAGGGAGATACTGCGTTCAAGTACATTTGCAAATATAATTTTATGGATCCTGCCTTGGTTTCATAGAATTAAAAATTCAATAATTAACTAGGTATACTGGGATGACCTTGTGGTTCGTGAGGTGATGTCCCATCTACACATGCCTGGGCTTGGTAAGCCGCTTGCTAAATTGTGTGACTGTGCATCCCCTATTTATCAAACAAATGATTTAAAAATACTTACTTTAAATGTAAGGTTTCAGAAATACACTCTACTCTTTTGCTGGCCTTCGAAGACCTCATTGCTCTTTTACTTATATCTTCAAACACCATAATAGTTAGTTAGTTAGTTATTAATAGTTAGTTAGGCAGTGTATATTAGGCTAATAAACATGTACTTGTTTGAACTGGACGTAACACAGACGTGCAGAGTATCCTACGTTGTCACTGTTAATGAATTAGGATTTTTATTCATGATCACCCACCAAAAATAATAAGTTTACGATCTCAAGACAATGCAAAGATAATGCAAAGGAAAACCAAACATGCAAAAAAATCATACGCAATATGAGCTCTGATCTGCTGTTACAAAAAAAACTGCGTCTTGCAGTTGTATTCTCTGATTGGAATATTTACCCTGTGTTAATAATACCCCACTAATCCTTCCATCGTGTAACTAGGTTTGGGGATCGTTACATTTCCGTGCAGCAGTTTACGCAGCTTCATTGAATGCACCGTGAGCACGAGGGGAATGATAGTAGCGGTGAGTCCAACCTCTGGGTGGGGATTTGAGTGATTGATGGTCGCCTCCCCGAGAGTGTTTCATAGACTCGCCCCCTCCACGCTTTCCCCCCCCCCCCCCCCCCTCTCCCTCTCCCTCTCCCTCTCCCTCTCTCTCTCTCTCTCTCTCTCTCTCTGAGCAGGAATGTGGAAACGGGGAATTCAGTCAGTCTGCGCTGCACGTTACTGCGCCTCACAGGAGTGAATCATTGATCTTTGCCTCGGTTAAATATATTGATGAAGAGGAAGTGATATATTTGTCAGCGGATTCTGCGGTCACTTTTATTTATTTTTTTGATTGAGGAGGGGGGTGAAGAAGCAACATTCTTCTCCGTTCCTCGACTGGAGAGAAAAGTTTGCTTTGAGACCCACAGCTGGAGTCCGCAGATGGGAATAAGCTCTCAGTGGACGCCGAGCGCACCTCATTCCGCACATCTCACAACATGTAAGCTGCCTTTTTCCCCCCCTTTATTTTTTATCTTGATCCCGTGATTTACATTCCGAGGGCGTGAGCACTGCGATAATACAGCATGTTCCGTGAGGTCACAGCGAAAAGCCTGTGCGATATCTATGTTCCCGTGGTGGCTGCTGCTCCTCCTCAACTATTTCCAGTTTTTCTTGTACTTACTGGGTATTTGTTGTTATGGTTCCACAGTGGTTGTGGTTTTGCTGTGATATATGCATAGCATAACGTTTAGCATATGCATGTCATTGCTGTTTTGTTTTTCAAAATAAAACTAAATTCACATGTGGCATGCTTGATAATGCCTGTTGTTCCCTTAACAGCCTACCTGTTTGTTGTTGTTATTATTGTGCATATTCAGGAATGAATTCGGTAAACTAACTAGAATGCTCTAATTAGTTTTTTCTCCCATTCCTGAGTGATTATAAAAGAATAAGAATCTTACTTGAGTTGATGATGTGTCCTGTAGTTAATATAAAAGATGAATTGTGTTTCCGAACTCCTCACAGATTTTGGATAACTGCCTGTTAAATCAGGAATCAGGATCAGGAAACATTTATTGCCAAAATCTGTCATACATACAAGGAATTTGACTTGGCGGTAGGTGCGTGACAGTAGACAGTATAACAATAGACAACAAGAAATAAAAAAAATTATGTCTCGTTTAGTATCTGCTTACTTGATCAAATAAAAAAAATAGCACAGGAGCATTGACAAAAGCCAACAGATTGTTCTCACAGATGTTTGTTTGCTGTCCTCTCTGCGTCTCTTCCTCCTTCCCGACAGGGGCCGGGAGTCACTGAGGAGGTGAAGGCTGCTGCTGTTAAATGCTCACTGCGAGGCTTCCCACCACACCGCGACTGCTCATCTAACTCCTGTTACCTCAGTGAGCGCGTGAACCGCTCGCGGGCTGTTTGCCATGGCGTCCAGTCTGACATGCACCGGTGTTATCTGGGCCCTGCTGTCCCTGCTCTGCGCTGCCGCCTCCTGCGTCGGCTTCTTCATGCCCTACTGGCTGCTGGGGACGCAGATGGACAAGCCAGTGTCCTTTGGCCCGTTCCGCCGCTGCTCCTACCCGGTGAGGGACGAGGAGAGGCACGCCACGGTGATGCTGGAGCAGTGCGGCCGCTACGCCTCCTTCCTCGGCATCCCGAGCCTGGAGTGGAGGATCTGCACGGTGGTGACGGGCGTGGGGTGCGGCCTCCTCCTCCTGGTGGCCCTCACGGCTCTCATGGGCTGCTGCATCTCTGACCTCATCTCCCGCACCATCGGCCGCGTGGCCGGCGGCATTCAGTTTGTTGGAGGTGAGTTTGTGTTTCTGTGTTCTCCGGCTGTGCAGAGCCACGCCTCCGGTGTGGATTCCATTCATTGATGGTCGTCTTTGCATTGAAAGATGCTATCGATTTATATACAAGTCTGAATGGGAATCTGAGAGATGGTGATGGTAGTGATTAACTTATTATCGTGGTATCTCAGGAAGAAGAGTGAACAAGGAGTCGTAGAAATGAATGAACAGTGAACATCTCACTTCCGCCTCCAGTTTTCTTGGACACCGGGAATCCAGGCGTCGGTTTTGCGTTCTCCCCGGCTCGCGAGGTCCGAAGGTCTTCCGGCGAAGCTGCAAGTTGCCGTGGCTCATCACGCTGCTATTTGCAATCCCTGTCACTTCAGCCCGGCTTTAAAAAGTGATGTGACAGAAAAGCAGGTTTCACAGAGCTGCCAGTTTTCTTTACACAGACGGATAAATTTACAGAGGACTACCGCAACGTGTCGTGTGCGAGTTTTTAGCTGCTTCGAAACGTCGGTATTAATGATGTATAATATGGAGGATGAGTAAGGTGAAGGCTGGCGGGCTTATTCTCAAATGTGCACTTTTATGTAAGGAGAGATTACAGCAAGAGGCTATTTTTGGTTATAGGATTAAAACTAAAAAGTCCTTCTTTCATGCGATTTGTCTTTTTTCGTAGACTCACAAATCCGGCCTCAGCGTGAGTTTAAGGTTGAGGGAGTGCAAAGTAAGGCGGAGTGCAATACAAGGGGCAGCACTCAGTTCTGTTAAAGCCAAAGGGCAGAGATGTCTCACAAGGGCTAATTGGAAGTGACACAATTTGGAAGCTCAGTGGGCTGCTCCGGACATTGCCTCTCACTGCTGGCTAAGAGTGTCGAAATGTCAGGCTAAATTGGGAGAGAGAGCGGAAGAAAAGAAGAAAAAGAATCTTGATTATTGAAACATTCTTCATCCACTTCCTATAAAGCAAGAATCGCGCCGAGACACAAGCGCATCTTGTGTTCACCAGATGTGGTGGCCGGTGTCTTCCTCCTTTTGTGTTTCCTCTGCTCCTCTTGTTGGACCCCCTAATGAAGAGCGTCTCACCAGAGAGGGCAGGGCCTCTGGGCCCCCCGAGAAAAAAACACGTACTTCAATATCCCCCCGTAATTTGTCTCAATCCAATAAAATAGATTAGAACAGAAAGGATTTATCCAGGCTTTATCGGACTGAAGGAGCACCTCTGAACAATAATGCAATGATGATATTGCGGTATTTGTGACTCGTGTTGTTGTTTACCCCCTCTGATGCTGCTCTCCCCAAGTCCGCTTGTGAGGCGAGTCGTTCCAGACCTGGTTAGTTGCTGATGGCAAAGGCCCAAATTTCCTTTTTACAGGCCAGAGAGTTTCAGTCTGAGCATGAGACTATGAGACTGTTCTGCCTCATAAATCAAAGGCCCTGTGCTGCTTACACTAAACAACTGCCTGTGCGGTAATTTCTCGTCTTAGTTATGCGGCGATGCAAACTCCAAAGTGCTGTGCCACAGACGGCAGCTTCAGACGTTCAAAGATTTTCCGACTTGGATTTGGTTGTTAGGGATTTTGATCCCCGTCCCCCCCTGCAGAGTCCGGCTTGTCTTTTTGGTTCCTCGAGCAGAGTTGTGCACCGCGGGGGGTAAGCTGTTTAACGTTTGTTTTCCAGGCTCGATACAGGGCCTCCGCGTACCTTTTTTGAATGCTTTGTAGCTCCACTCGGCACAATAAGCTGCCTTTTTAAATGATCCTCTGGTGTCTTTTTGGGTGTTTGTTCCTTGTCGTTCTTCTCTGCGCATGACTGCTGGTTTCGTTTTGACATTTTGCTGTTTGATCGCCTCATGATGACTGACACTTTGACAGCCGCCATGATTTGACGAGCGGTCTGCTCCATCACCAATGAGTTATTAGGGGACAGTGATAGGAGCGTGGGGAGGCCTCCCACAAGCTTTTTGCAATACTGGGATGCTATTTTGACTTTATAATATATCTGATTGTTGGGAGGATTATGTAAGAGGGATGCTTGATCTGCACATTTGGCATTTGGGAATGTTATAATGTGGCAAGAAAAGCAAACTTCAAATGGGCCTTTCTGAAATGATGTTGCTACAGTAGGAGTTAGGAGAAAGACTCTTCCGGTGCTGAAAAAGAATGCTGGGTGCCAGATTTGTAAAAAGAAAAGGCGTTGAATGGCTAAATTCTAGTTATCGCACTGCTATAATTCCAGTGTGCACTGATGAATTGCGAATTAAAACGCATTTTCTACCACCCTTTGCCCTTTCAAGCCAATCAATCAAATAAAACCTCTTTGCTCCCCAAAACAACGGTTCCAAAGGTTGATTTGCTATACGTGGAGCCCAAATAACATCTCAAGTCACATTATGGGAGGCGGTGATAAAGCATTGTCCCAAAACACGCCTTAAATCGCTAAAAGATATTGCCTTTACCTGCAGAGAATGGTGAATGGACTGAGATCACTTGAGGTCTTGATATACTGTAAATGTCACGAGATAAAGCTGTGCCAAGCTGCAGGGTGAAGTCTATGTGTTTTTTTTATTGAGGGGGGTGCTGGACCGCCGCGTCCTTCAAATTGAAGCCGAAATAACAGGACAAACAATGTGATGCGTTATCGGCTGCGCTTGGCCTCTTTCCGGGGGTTTGTTGGTGCAGTTTGTTTGATGCAAGCAGGGCACTTCATGAGACCAGCAGTGGTTTGTGAGGAAGTGCAGACCTACTGGATACGGTCCATTTCAAATCGGTGGAAAACAGTCCAACGTGGCATATTTCACTGCCATATAGGGGCAGTGAATCTATATGGTCTAATTGTTGTCACAGAAGTGCTGAGAACAGTTTTTGCAGGAATTTGCAATGCTGGGATGGGCTAAAAGCATTTATCATTGATTAGAGACATTTAATGCATGTTACATTAAATATTACCCCTGGGTTCTGACGGCCCTTTAATGAGATGAGAGGAATATGGGTTTTGTCCATCTCTGCTTTGTGATGCTCCCATGTAAGGTCCCTCAGTTTGAGATGACAAACGCTTATTCTCTCTTCTTTTTGTTGTATTTCTTCAAAGCAAAATTGAAGATCCCTCTACTGAAAGTAGAAATTCCAAATGAAACGTCAACGCGCTGGTTTGTTGTGTTTGTGGGTGAAACAATCCACGCGCTGGGGCTGCAGCCTCCACGTGACGCACAGGCCTGTTGGCCACGCTAGTTAAAAAACGCACCCCCACCTGCCTCTGGCGAAGCTGCAGTTGATCTGAACCATCAAATAATTGGCAGTGTTGCCCGTTGGGAAAGCTCCTCCATTTCGTTTGCTGGTTGATGGGCTCTGTTCCATCTCTGTGCCAGCATCTCGTTTGCCCACTCCGGTGTGCGATGTCGGTAAATGAACACTATGAAGCCGAGGATGAAACACGCGTCAACCTCCGTGGCTCAAAGTCTATGTCAAGGGCATGGGCGCGAGCGATACTTTTAAAGAGGTAAATAAACTACAGATGGACTGCAATTTCGTCTTCCGCGATGTTGCCAAGGGCTATTTGGCACGGGGGCGTGTTGTCCTGTTTGAGAGCCATACCAACACAGCCAGGAGCTCCGTCCTTGTGTCTGCTTCGTGAGCGCTTGCCAGCTGGATCCCACCCAGTCCCAGAATGTGAGCCTCCACCTCCCCGTCACCACCAGCACTCTTTTTCAAGAGGTACAACAAAGAGAAATCACATCCGCGCGAGGAAGGCTTCGGGATGAAGACCTCATGTGTCCTGGGAGGGGGGAGGCGGGTGGGGGTTCTTTCTGGGGCAGCGTCCCACGACAGTCAAGTCGCATCGCGAGACATCAGACATTTCCACGGCGATGGATGGAATATTCCCATTTTCGTCAGTTTGCTCACAAAAAACAAATCTGTATTCCTTCCTTCCTTCCTCATCAAAGACCTGGCAGTTTGATGTGACGATGATGGACTACGGTGTCTCATCTGCACGTAGGCATTGCATAAAACTAATACGCTAGCACCACTCGATATGTCTGAGAGGAAGAATCAGTCTTTTGCGATGTTTTTTATGTTATGTTTTCTCCATCGTTCTCGTTTCCGGCCACTGATGGTTACAAAGTGGACGTCTCTTCCTCTCTTGGGTGATTGATCACCTAAAGTGCAGACCCCTCTTGCAGCACTGTAATGTGCTCATTGAGCCCAGCAGCTATCTTTTTTTGCTGCACATACACTTCCTTAAGCCCCCACCAACATCGTCACCAGTCAGAGCCGTGAAACGAAGCCCCTTCCCCACAGGCAGTCTGTACTCCCCAACACCCCGGCCTATCCTTCTCCTTTCACTCTTTCTCGGGATGACCCCCTCCACCCTTCTTGCCTTTTGAGTTACAGTATTATTTCCAGTGCTCTCAGTCTTTCTACTGCTTTTCTACGTTTTTCTATTTGTCTTTGCTCTCTTCTACCGCATCTATTTCCCTCACTCTTCGCCACATGTCGTGGCCTCCCCAAAAAAAAGAATTTATTGGATCAGTGACCTAAAGAGTGGATCTGACGCTCCGACAGAAAGAGTTAACGGATGAAACAAAACAAAAAGCGTGAGGCAGAAACGGGGCGGAAAGCCCAGCACCAACAGGGATTTAGTTTTGTCAAACAGGAAGTCTGGGCAACCAAAGGACAGACAGAAGAGTTATTTCAGTCTGCTCCTCTGTTAAGTCGTTGTTTTCACTGCCATAGTCGCAGGCGTACTGCATATCAGGTTGTTTTTGTCACTTGGAACCCAACTGTTCCAGAAAACGTGTCTGGTGTGTCTGTATTTGTGCCTGACATCATGCAGCTAAAAAAGAAAAAACAAGCGAGTTGCGTGAGAATGAATTTATTTGAGATAATGCAATTTGATCATTTATAAATGATTTGCCAAGCAACAATGTCAAACAATGGCTGATAAAGATAAAAAGTAAATGCTAGTTCAGCGTTCTTATACAATCACAATAATCTGCGAGGATACTAGCTGTTTAGC